CTACTGAAGCTCATTGTTCTCAAACAGTCTGAAATGATTAAGTTATTGAGCAACTAAATGAAATTGCATTACAATTTTCACCTCCCTCTTTCTAGGCACATAATTTCCTTCAAATTAAATTTTTGCACCGAACTTTTTTGATCAGAAAAATTCAAATTATTCTCTCTCTCCAAACATTCTTCGAAAGTTAATTTAATAAAAATTTAGCACGTTGTACTTTTTTGTGCAAATGCGACTTTTCAACCTTTAAACGATCATAACTTCCTTCAAAGTCATTCATTTGGGAAGCTGAACCGGTATGACAAACTACAGGATTCAAGCTTTTAAAAGAGCCCAAAGTTTCCTGAAAAATCAGCAGTTCAAAAATTAGTCCCGTTGTTACTTTTTTTGAAGGGGTATTCTTCAAGCCATTTTCTTGAAAACGCGGGTTTTCTTAGGTTTCACTGCCCGTAACTTCTTGGAAGACCAATTTCATGTTTAATTTAGGATGTGCTAGAAAGCTTCGAGCATGCGCTTGCACTACATCCCTTGCCTTGGTGCGCGCCACGCCTCGGGCGCCCTTCTAATTCGCTGATTCATTTGAAAGCTCATTTAGAAGGAAGCGTGGTTTATAGATGCTCTAGTATCAGTCATCTTGCGTAAACGTAACGTGCTGGCTATTATCCATGTTGTCTCAGGCAATACTCAGTTTCACATATGTTTCGTGGCTGGATGCATTTCATGGTGAGAGCAATCCCTCGAACGAAGCTACATATTTGCTGCTGCTGTTTCTGCAAGTCCTTCCTCTTCATGGTGGGTCTATGCGGGGTAAAGGGCTTTGCTCCCACTGCCGACCACCGCGAGTACGACCCCCCCCCCACAAGCTGAACCAAATACGACTCCCGTTGGTACTTGTACCAACATAGGGTTGACCCTGCACCTGACCCGGTCTCTCCAGGCGGATCCCAGGAGCTAGGGGATTTCGTGACAGACACACAGACGACATACGACAGACGAAGCGCTTTATAGTAAGTAGGATGATGGGGTACGAGACTGCTCGAAGAAAGCTAACAAATTCTTCCTCGTGATCGGTTTTTCATGTGGCTTTCATCTGCTGTTTTTATCTCATACCGTTCCTAGGTGATCCACCATTTGGAAATTATATCAAAAAGTAGGATCGAAACCGAATTTCTCGGACCAATTCCGATGAAGTTACATTTTTTGTTTTATTCGCTTTCGTTTTTGTGTGTTGCGCAAAGATCAATTTATGATTGTTTAGATGAAAGCGATGAATTCAACTGGATATACCGTGATGGATGATAAGCAGTTAGAACTGGTATACGGTGCTGGCTCACCGTACGCTAACTCCACTACATATGAAAGGCTTCGCAAAGTTCCTGCAAAAGAGATTCCGCAGGTCATAGAGCGTACAATCAAGGATGTGGCGAACGAGGTGATAGCGTTCAAAGCCCGACGGGAGAAGGACATTGTGCTGTCTCCCATTGTTCTGACGACGGTAGTTCTTTCACCGGCTACAGTTTCACAATTTATTGTACTGTCACCCATACTTTTTGTTCCGGTAGTACTGTCTCCGGCTATCTTCGGGGTAGTTGTTTTATCTCCATGGGCATTTGTTCCATTCATAATTTCGCCTCGTCTTATGTCTCCGGTCATCCTCTCACCCATTCTGCTTTCACCTATCATACTTACTCCTCTTGCTCTCCATCCGATTATACTTTCGCCAGGAGCACTTGTTCCTTTCGTGCTCAGTCCTCATGTACTTTCCCCGTTCATCGTTAATCCTGTCGCATTGACGCCTCTGATTTTGAGTCCATTCTGTTTGTCACCTTTCATCATAGTCCCAAACGTGTTATCTCCCCTCATTCTATCCCCATTCGTCCTTTCGCCACTAATACTCTCCCCACCAGCGGTATCGGCTTTCGTGCTTACTCCGTACCTCCTTTCACCTATCATCGCTTCTCCTGGTGCTTTATTCGCAGCAGTGCTTTCTCCCTCGTACCTAAGTTAATCGGTTCTATGCAAATGTAATAAGGTAAAGTACTGGTAATGGACAATCGTCCTTAAACTTCTTGCTTCTTAATTTGAAATTGTTACTCTTATTTTGATAGTAACATTGTCACCACACATCCTTCGCCATCGTGTATCACTCTATACGTTTGGATGAAACCAAAATCATTGTTAAATTTATTTGTTTAGGTAGGTCACTTAGAGAACACGTGGCATTTTGGTCTATTTATTAGATTTTTTCAGTAGGTTTGCTCATTCATCTTTATGTATTTTGCCAGAGCCTAGATGTGGTGAGAATCGGAAGAATAAATTGATTTGTCTCATGCCAGCAAAAAATGACGTAGCGTCTTTGATTAGCACGGGCTGCAACGAACGATGCACAGGTTGGTCATCTTCTCAAAACATACGAGATGTTGCGCTACATGCCGTAAATGTTCTATGTTGAATTACTTCAGCAGCAGACCGGCCGTTCTCACTCCGCCTGCGGCAGCTGAATATGTGAACTCCTTGATGGAAAACCACTTGAGAAACGATCTCAAAGAATCAAACCATAGCTCCACGTAATACCCAAAAATGAAAAGGTAACAATGAGCGAGATAGGCAAAGAGATTCGGTACTATTGTGCTATTGAAACTTCAAACTCCACAACAGTACAAGTCCAGACGGGTCAAATAGGATATTTCCTTAACACGTTGACGACAGCGTGACGCGGTAACGCGTCCCACTTTGCGCACCTCGTGGGACATTGTGA